GGTTCAGGCAATTCTCCTGCCTCAGCCTCCTGAGTAGCTGGGACTACAGGCACGCGCCACCATGCCCAGCTAATTTTTTGTATTTTTAGTAGAGACGGGGTTTCACCATGTTGACCGGGATGGTCTCGATCTCTTGACCTCGTGATCCACCCGCCTCGGCCTCCCAAAGTGCTGGGATTACAGGCTTGAGCCACTGCGCCCGGCCCAAATGCACCCTTAAAACACCTGACTCACACTCAAGAGGGTGGGGGGGGACCCGGAGGAAGGGAGCAGCCTGCCCGTGACAGGCTTCCTGGCTCCAGCACATCTGTTCGGTGCCATGAGGAGCGGCAGTGATGCAGCCCCTGTGGCTGGAGTAACCACTGCACTCTCTTCAGTTGAGCAAGCAGCTGAGCCTGTGTTAGTTACATATGTGTATCATCATAATGAACATTTAAGGAACTGTGTGACTGGCTCTTTGCTAAGCGTTATACGTGCATTCATGCTCATGATTCTGAGGTAGGTTTAGCAACTTACAAGGAGGGCATCTACCTTATTGTGTTGATGTGAGGATCGAACGACGTAAGAGAAAGGACCTACACCATGTTTATCCTAGTTACTGCTGCAGTTGTCCCCATTTTTTAGATGAGAAAACTGAGGCACACAGATGTGAAATCACCCAAAGTCGAGAATCAAGATTCCTACTGTTCACCTGACTCCATGTCTGCACATGAGGCCTGGACACCCCAAGGATTAAAGAGGGCCAACTGGATAGGCCTCAGGGACAAGGGTGCAGAGACTCCTGCGAAGCCCCGCTGGGCCCCAGGAAGTCTTGCTGAGAGCTATGCGGCAGGACACAGGGCCTAGAAGTTCCAGGGAAGGACACCCAGCTCCCCGCCATTCCTCCGTGGGCACGAGTCCTGAGACACAAGGTGAATGGAGTCGGGCAGGTCCAGACTGGCCAGCCCTGAACATGCACAGATCCACCCAGGTCCTCTGGGCCCGTCTTGGCCTCCCTTGAGGATACCCCCTTAGTCCCAAACCCCAAGGCTGTGGGCCACCACTCACTGTCGAAGTCGATCTTCTCCACGATGTTTTTGGGTTTAATGCTCTCTTCCTGGCTACAGATGAAGATCTGCCCTGACTCGTCGGCGCTCCAGCCATATTTGCTCATCCACACCTTTAGCTGGCTGTCTGCAGGTGACAGGGGTAGCGAGGGGCTTCTGTCAGCCTAATCCCACAGTTCCAGGGTACTGGGAGGCAACAGGGTCATGGCTCAGGAGGCCAGGGCAGCCTCCACTCCCTATCTCCTGGACAGCAGCAGCCGGCCTGGTCTCCTGGCTTCTGCCCCTGCCCTCCCACGGTTCATTCTCTGAATGGCAGCCAGAGGGAGCCTTTGAGCTCCCTCAGCCTCATCATCCTGGGGCTTCTGCCTTAATTTCTTTTTTTGAGACAGAGTTTCGCATTTGTTGCCCAGGCTGGAGTGCAATGGCGCCATCTCGGTTTACTGCAACCTCCGCCTCCTGGGTTCAAGCAATCCCCTCGTCTCAGCCTCCCAAGTAGCTGGGATTACAGGCATTTGCCACCACGCCCAGCTAATTTTATATTTTCATTAGAGACGGGTTTTCTCCATGTTGGTCAGGCTGGTCTCAAACTCCCAACCTCAGGTGACCCGGCTGCCTTGGCCTCCCAAAGTGCTGAGATTTCAGGTGTAAGCCACTGTGCCTGGCCAATTTATTTTATTTTCTATGCCTCTCTTTCTTTCTCCCTGGACAAATCTTGGTTCCTAACAAGAGCAGCGTGTGGAACGGTTACAAAATTATGACATGACCTTTACTACTAACAATACACTTTTTTTGCCCTTAGAAGATAAGCCAGGCAGGGGCTGGGTTCGGTGGCTCATGCCAGTAATCCCAGCACTATAGGAGGCTGAGGTGGGAGGATCTCTTGAGACCAGGAGTTTGAGATCGGCCTGGGCAACAAAGTGAGACCCCCATCTCTTTAAGGAGAAAAAAAAAAAAAAAAGACAACTGCCTGTAGTTCAGTTACCTGATAAATTTTTCTGTACAACTATTATCGTTTTGATACAGGTTCATGTAATGGTTTTTATATACAATTCTAAGTCATGTTCACATCCTTTAATTTCCTTTCACTTATAAATATGTAAAACATCTACCTGATATAAAGCACTTAGTATAATGTATGACATAACATGTCCAATAATAGTTAGCTTCCACTTGGCCAGGCGTGGTGGCTCACGCCTGTAATCCCAGCACTTCTGGAGGCCAAGGTGGGCGGATCACTTGAGTTCAGGAGTTCAAGACCAGCCTGGCCAATGTGGTGAAAACCTTGCTGGTACATAGGGGGCACTCTATTAATGCAGAATAAATGAGCAAATGGCCTAGGATCTCCCTCAAGGCAGGATCTGTCTTATACCACGTTCTTATTTCCTCCCTGGACTGGGCCTTCCATTTGGACCTGATGAGACCTGGACAGGCCCGTTGGAAGAGCTGACTGAGGTCCACTGCCCCAGCAACCCCCAACCTCCCAGATGTGTACAAGGACCCAGAGGGCATTACCCGATAGATCCCCGAGCATCTCAGCCAGCAGCCAACGGTCGATGTGCTGATAAGTGATACCCACGACATGGCAGATGACTGTGGAGGTCAGAGACAAAAATGATGAGGAGCTGTCTCCCTGGACCTGGCTGCCACTCCCCACCCCTTCCCCTTGCAGAGCCCAGGCTCAGAGAGGGACTCACACTTTCGGACAGAGTCTTCAAAGCCAGTTATACCTTCCAAGAGGTCCATGTTTTCATCCAGGGCTTGCTGTAATGGGAATTGATGTTCATAATGTTTATCCTTTTAAATTTTTTGCTTTTATTTTCATTTATATATAAAGATGGGGTCTCACTACGATGCCCAGGCTGGTCTTGAATTTCTGGGCTCAGGTGATCTTCCTGCCTCAGCCTCCCAAAGCGCTGGGATTTTTTGCTGTTGTGTGACAGAGACGAGGACTCACTGTATTGCCCAGGCTGGTCTCAAACTCCTGGGCTCAAGTGATCTGCCCACGTTGGCCTCCCGAAGTTTTGGGATTACAGGCATGAGCCACCACTCCCAGCCTACGATGGTAATCTCATATATCAAGAATGTTCACCTCTGTAATGTTAACAAGAATAGCAGCTATCAGGCCAGGCATGGTGGCTCATGCCTGTAATCCCAGCACTTTGGGAGGCTGAGGTGGGTGGATCACTTGAGGTATGGAGTTCGAGACCACCCTGGCCAACGTGGTGAAACCCCATCTGTACTAAAAATACAGAAAATAGTCAAGCATCGTGGTGGGTGCCTGTAATCTTCCCAGCTACTTGAGAAGATAAGGCAGGAGCATTGCTTGAACCTGGGAGGCAGAGGCTGCACTGAGCCAACATCGTATCATTGCACTCTAGCCTGGGTGACAGAGCCATACTCGGTCTCAAAAGAAAAAAAAAAGCAGCTACCATTTGAGCATTGACCCCACATGGTAGCCATTTGAGCACAACCCTGTGATATAAGTTACATCCATTTTAGAGATGAGGAAACCAGGGCATTTAGGTGATTTGCCCAAATTCCTGGAGGTGAGGCTTGAACCTGGCAGGCAGAAACCACATCCCTGAGAAGGGAGACAGACACATACTGGCTCAGTGCATTCAGCCACCTCCCCTTGCTTCTGCCTCACTCAGAGAAAAGGCCAATCTTACCATAGCCCATGAGGCCACACAGAATGTGTCTGTCACCTCTGTGCCCTCACCTCCGCCCACTTGCTCCTCATTCACCCTGCTCCAGCCACAGGGGCCTCCCCACTGCTCCCCAAACCCGCCAGGCACCCACCCACATCAGGTCCTTTGCACTCGCTGTTCCTGTGTGTGGAATTATCCTCCTCCATGGCTACCACCCTCCCCTCCTTCAGGTTTCTGCTCAAATATCAGCTCCATGGCACGGGTTCTCTCTAACAGAAGGGAGGGAAATGAGGAACCCACAGGAATGCCAAGAAGGTGCAGCCAGTGAGGTGGGCAAAATCCAGATCTGTGACTGGGGGTGGTGGCTCAACCTGTAATCCCAGCACTTTGGGAGGCCGAGGCAGGAGGAACACTTGAGGCCAGAAGTTCGAGACCAGCCTGGTCAATGTGGCAAAACCCCACCTCCACTAAAACTACAAGTATTAGTTAGGCGTGGTGGTGTGCACCTGCAATCCCAGCTACTCAGGAGGTTCAAGTGGGAGGATCACTTGATCACTTTGGCCTTGGAGGTTGAAGCTGCAGTGAGCTGTGTTTGCATCACTACACTGTGGCCTGGGCGACAGAGTGAGACCCTGTCTCAAAAAAAAAAAAAAGTATGCAGTCAGCTGCACATAAAATGTCAGGGTCTGGGATGGGAACAGGTGAGAAGAAAGGGAGGTGAGAAGAAAGCATGAGGAAAAGTCCAGAGTTGGGGAAGGACGACCTCAGCTGCAGCTGGGGATGGGGGAGACACATGCGATTTAAGAGAAGGAAGCAGAATGGAGGAACTCGCAAAGAAAGAGGGCTGGAGCTACTGGTCAGGCCCAAGAATAGAGGGATGGAGATGCAACAGGGGTGAGCTGAGAAGCTAGAAGGAAGTGGGCAGAGTGAATATGCTGAAAACTCACAGGAAGAGGAGGGGAGCCATTATTGGTGAGGGCAGTGGCTCCCAACATTGGCCAGATGTCCAGATCACCCAGGATAACTTTTTAAAATCCCAAAGCCTAGGCTATACTGAACCAATTACATCAGATTCCGTGAGGGCAGGGCCCAAGTATTAGTATCAATTTTTAAAAATGCTTCAGAGGGTCAGGAGTGGTGGCTCATGCCTGTATCCCAGAACTTTAGGAGGCCAAGGTAGGCAGATCACTTGAAGCTAGGAGTTCAAGACCAGCCTGGTCAACATGGTGAAATCCCACCTCTACTAAAAGTACAAAAATGAGCCGAGCATGGTGGTGCATGCCTGTAGTCCCAGCTACTCGGGAGGCTGAGACAGGAAAATCGCTTGAACCCAGGAGGCGGAGGTTGCAGTGAGTTGAGATTGCGCCACTGCACTCCAGCCTGGACAACAGAGTGAGACTTTGTCTCAAATAAATAAATAAAAAGGAAAAGAAAATAGCCTGGGCACAGGGGCTCATGCCTGTAACCCCAGCACTTTGGGAGGCCAAGGTGGGTGGATCACAAGGTCAGGAGTGCAAGACCAACCCCGTCTCTACTAAAAATACAAATACAAACAATAATAATAATAATTAGCCAGGCATGGTGATGGGCACCTGTAATCCCAGCTACTGGGGAGGCTGAGGCAGAGAATTGCTTGAACCCTGGAAGCTGAGGTGGCAGTGAGCCGAGATCACGCCGCTGCACTCCAGCCTGGGCGACAGAGTAAGACTCCATCTCAATAAAAAAAAAAAAAAAAAAGAAAAAAAAAAGCCTCACAGGCCCAATGTGCAGAGAACTGGCCCAGAGTATGACTGAAACAGAAGGGCTGAGGTCAGATGTAGCACAAGATAGCTGGCCAAGAGATCAAGAAACCCAGAGGTGTGGGTGGTCAAAGGATCCTCTGTGTGACTTTCTAATCATCTAAGAATTAGGGTGGGAGTGGTACAGGGCACCAGTGAGAAGGAGCTGAATTCATCAAGAAACAAAAACCAGTCATCAGAGGGTCTGATACCAACAAAGTGGGGCAGGAAGTGATGACATGTGCACTTTAAGACCGGGGGTTTCTGGCCGGGCACGGTGGCTCACGCCTGTAATCCCAGCAGTTTCAAAGGCCAAGGCGGGCAGATCACCTGAGGTCAGGAGTTCTAGACCAGCCTGGCCAACATGGTGAAATCCCATCTCTACTAAAAATATGAAAATTAGCTGGGCATGACGGCACGCCCCTGTAATCCTAGCCACTTGGGAGGCTGAGGCAGGAGAATTGCTTGAACCTGAGAGGCGGTGGTTGCAGTGAGCCCAGATGGCACCACTGCACTCCAGCCTGGGCAACAGAGTGAGACTCTGTCTCAAAACAACCAAAGAACAAAGAAAAAACAACAAAAAAGACTGGGGGTTCAGAAGGGACAGGAGCAGGAGGTGATCCAGCCTCCTACTCAGGAGTCTGCAGAAGTGGGGGGCCAGGTTCCAGTTACAGCAAGAAAGGCAGAGCACATCAGACAGGCAGAAGAGACGGAGAATTTCTTTTTCTCGAGATAGGGTCTTGCTCTGTTGCCCAGGCTGGAGTGCAGTGGTGCGATCACGGCTTACTCCAAGGCTCAAGCGATCCTCCCACCTTAGCCTCCTGGGGAGCTGGGAGTATAGGCACATACCACCACACCCAATTAATTTTCAATTTTGTAGAGATGAGGTCTCGCTGTGTTGCTCTGGCTGGTCTGGAACTCCTGGCCTCAAGCGATCCTCCCGCCTCAGCCTCCACAAGTACTGGAATCACAGGCAAGACGCTACACCCAACCTGGAGGACTTCTGATCAACGGTGGGTACTAGAGGGCCCAATGGAAAGACAGGAGAGAGGGGAAAGGGTCGGCCGCAGCCTGTGGGCACGGGGATGACCTGTGAGTACCCACTCTGCGAGAGGATGATGATTCCACAAAATCACAAGTGCAGAACACCAGGCCCACCATCAAAACAGGAAGCCAGTCAATGCGCACAGCTGTTACTTTTGGCATTCAGCTCTACACGGCCCTGCCATCTCCCTGGACCCTGGACCCCAGGGAAGTTACCCAGAAGGTCTGGAAGTGGCAGGTCTCCAGCAGGTCCCCGAGGTACAAAATCTGCCGGATTGGCCGTTCTTCTTGCTGGGAGGAGGAAGCGTTAAGGAAAACTGGCCTTGGAGCCTGAGGCTGGGCCCCAGATCACCACTCCCCACCTATCTTCTTCTGACTATTTTCTTCCAAAGGTTCAGCCGAGAAAAAGAGCTGGGAAAGGAAGCCGGCTGATTTCTCCTGAGGTATGTGAGGGAGAAAGGATTTGGCGGCAGGACTGTTTGTAATGACAAAAAATGAGAAATGATGTCCCTGGCCTGGTGGCTCAGGCCTGTAATCCCAGCACTTTGGGAGGTCAAGGTGGGTGAATCACTTGAGGTCAGGAGTTCAAGACCAGCCTGGCCAACATGGTGAAACCCTGTCTCTACTAAAAATACAAACATTTGCTGGGTGTGGTGGCAGGTGCCTGTAATCGCAGCTACTCAGGAGGCTGAGGCAGGAGACTCACTTGGAGGCAGAGGCTGCAGTGAGCCAAGAACGTGCCACTGACTCCAGACTGGGCTACAAAATGAGACTCCATCTCAAAAAAACAAAATTAAATAATTTTTAAAAGCCAGGCACAGTGGCTCACACCAGTAATCCAGCACTTTGGGAGGCTGACATCAAGACCAGCCTGGCCAACATGGCGAAACCCTGTCTCTACTAAGAATATAAAAATTAGTTGGGCATAGTGGCACGCTCCTGTGGTCCCAGCTGCTCAGGAGGCTGAGGCAGAATAGCTTGAACCTGGGAGGCGGAGGTTGCAGTGAGCCAACATTGCACCACTGTACTCCAGTCTGGGCGACAGAGAGAGACTCCGTCTCAAAAAACAAAACAAAACAAACCAAACCAAACCCTGCAGCATTCCTATGTCAAGCTTCCTCTATTTCTGTAAGACAGCGCCGAGCTCTGCTTCCTTTAGCCCATGAGTGTCCTCTCTGCTTGGACCACCGCTGTCTACCCTTCACCTAACTCCTTATGTTTTAGATGTTCCCTCCTCCAGGAGGCCCTGGTTTATTGTTTCTAGTTAAAAACACAGAAGAGTGAACAATAGCAAGGAAGGTCTTCCCTCCCGTCTCACAGCCATCCTTCCTAGGAGGTAACAGTCATTTGCAATTCTTTTTTTTTTTTTTTTGAGACGGAGTTTCGCTCTTGTTACCCAGGCTGGAGTGCAATGGCGCGATCTCAGCTCACCACAACCTCCGCCTCCTGGCTTCAGGCAATTCTCCTGCCTCAGCCTCCTGAGTAGCTGGGATTACAGGCATGTGCCACCATGCCCAGCTAATGTTTTGTATTTTTAGTAGAGACGGGGTTTCACCATGTTGACCAGGATGGTCTCGATCTCTTGACCTCGTGATCCACCCGCCTCGGCCTCCCAAAGTGCTGGGATTACAGGCTTGAGCCACCGCGCCCGGCTGCAATTCTTCAGGACCTTTCCAAATGCTTCTTACAGAAATGTAAATCCAGATGGCTGTGTGCATGTCCACATATTCCTCCGCCCAAATGGTCAAGTGCCTGCTCTAGCTCTTCTTTTTTTTTTTTTTTCCGGAGACGGCGTCTTGCTTTGTTGCCCAGGCTGGAGTGCACTGGCCACTCTGGCTCTTCTAACCCAACCCTGACCACTCCAGGCTATCACTGTCAGTCTCCTCACTGGGCTGTGACAGCTTTGTGAGAGCAGGGCTCAGGTCTTCTCAGTCACCACAATGTCCCAGCCCCGTCCAGCACTGACAGGCTGGACCAGAGCAGGCATTTGGTGTCTGTGGATGCACCCACAGGCCATCTCCCGGGAATGCACGTACCTTGACTCTGGCCCCCTCCCATTCACCACCCGCGCAGGGCAGGAAGGATACATGTGCCTGGTCAATCATGCACTTGCACAGGGTGAAGTCGGTGTGTGGCAGATTGGTGAGGGCCTTCAGCAGGATCTGGGCGGTGACTGTGGTCTGAAAGAAGGCTGGGTTGAACTGGTACCTAAGAAAGAGAACAAGAGATGTGGCCACAGTGGAACCTACAAGTCCCCAACCCTCACCAGGTGCCAGGCAGGCTGTCCACTGCTTTAGCAGACTTTGGGAATTGGACATGCCTGGGTTCCGATCCCAATCCCAACGCTTCCTGGCTGTGTAACCTTCACCTCCCTGAGACCACTTTTCTCCTCTGTGAACAGGGATAGTTAATGCCCACAACCACCCAATGGGGTAGACACTGCTAAGTGATTCACTCACAAACGAGAAACAGCCGCAGCGGTCTGGAGTAGTGGTTAAGGAACCAGAGCCAGACTGCTTTGCTTTAAACTTCCTGCTGAGTGACCTTAACCTACTTACTTATGACACGAGGAGCAGAGAAGAGAGATTAAGAGACACTGAAAGGCTGAGCACCAGAGAAAGGAAACTGAGGGGCTACAGTTTCCTCCCTTGCAAAACAGGACAACAGAGGGGTGTGTGTATGTGTGTGTCTCACGCCTATAATCCCAGGTGTGTGTGTACGTGCGTGCGTGCGTGCATGTCTTACGCCTATAATCCCAGCAGTTTGGGAGGCTGAGGCAGGTGGATCATTTGAGGCCAGGAGTTCGAGAGCAGCCTGGCCAACATGGTGAAACCCCATCTCTACTAAAAATACAAAAATTAGCCAGGTGTGGTGGCACATACCTGTAGTCACAGCTACTTAGGAGGTTGAGGCAGGAGGATCACATGAACTTGGGAGGCAAAGGTTGCAGTGAGCTGAGACCATGAGAGCATGCCAAGGCATTCCAGACTGGGGAACAGGGTGAGACCCTGTCTCAAAACAAAAACAAAAACAAAAACAAAACAAAAACACGGTGGTTTCGTATAAAAATAAAGAAATAAAAAAATAATAAAAAAAAGAAAGCAAGCACCCAAGCACCCAAATAAAATTAGCTGGGCTTGGTGGTGCATACCTGTAGTCCCAGCTATTCAGAAGGCTGAGGTTGCAGTAAGCCACGACTGTGCCACTGTAAAGGCCAGGTGCAGTGACTCACGCCTGTAATCTCAGCACTTTGGGAGGCTGAGGTGGGCAGATCACGAGGTCAGGAGTTCAAGACCAGCCTGACCACCATGGTGAAACCCCATCTCGACTAAAAATACAAAAATCAGCTGAGTGTGGTGGCGCACATCTGTAATCCCAGCTACTCGGGAGGTTGAGGCAGGAGACTCACTTCGCCTCGGGAGAAGATTATAGTGAGCTGAGATCGCGCCACTGCACCCCAGCCTGACAACAGAGCAAGACTCTGCCTAAAAAAAAAAACACACACAAAAAAAACACCATCACACTGGATGGATCTCACAAACCCTGTGCTGAGTAGCAAATGCCAGACACAGAAGAGCTTGTGCTGTATGAACTCCATCTGTATCATGTTCAAAGTAGGCAAACCTGAGCTAAGCTGATCCAGATGTATGCATGCATGGTAAACCATCACATAAAGCCAGGCCATGAGAGCATGGGGGAGCCCGGGAGTTGGTTAGCACAGAGCATATGGGGTAAAGAGCCTGTGGTGCTAGCAATAATTACGTAGGCTTTCATTTATTAATTTGTTAAACTACATGTTTGCTTAATGTATTATTAGCCTGTACGTGTGTTCTGTTTTACTTATTTTTGAGATGGGGTCTCACTCTCTCGACCAGGCTGGAATACAGTAGCTCGATCTCGGCTCACTGCAACCTCTGCCTCCCGAGCTCAAGCAATTCTCCTGCCTCAGTCTCTCAAGTAGCTGGGACTACAGCCGTACACCATTAGGCTCAGCTAATTTTCTGCAGAGACAGGGTCTTGCCATGTCACCTAGGCTGCTAATTCTTAATTTTTTTTTCTTTTTGAGAAAAAGAAGGGTCTCACTCTGTCCCCTAGGCTGGAGTGCAGTGGTGCATCATGGCTCACTGCACCTGGATCTCCCAGGCTTAAGTGATCCTCCCACACTGCACCTGGATCTCCCAGGCTTAAGTGATCCTCCCACCTCAGCCTCTCAAGTAGCTGGAACTACAACCACACGCCACCACATTAATTTCAAATTTTTTTTTTTATACAGTCTGGGTCTTGCTATGTTGCCATGGTTGGTCTTAAACTCTTTGGCTCAAGTGATTCTCCCACCTCAGCCTCCAAAAGTGCTGGGATTATAGGCATGAGCCCCTGAGCCCATCCTTAATTGATTTTTTTTTTTTTTTTTTGAGACGGAGTTTCGCTCTTGTTACCCAGGCTGGAGTGCAATGGCACGATCTCGGCTCACTGCAACCTCCGCCTCCTGGGTTCAGGCAATTCTCCTGCCTCAGCCTCCTGAGTAGCTGGGACTACAGGCACGCGCCACCATGCCCAGCTAATTTTTTGTAGTTTTAGTAGAGATGGGGTTTCACCATGTTGACCAGGATGGTCTTGATCTCTTGACCTCATGATCCACCCGCCTCAGCCTCCCAAAGTGCTGGGATTACAGGCTTGAGCCACCACGCCCGGCCCCTTAACTGATTTTTTAAAAAACCATCCCTCCAGGCCAGTGGCTCATGCCTGTAACCCTAGAACTTTGGGAGGTCAAGGCAGGCAGATCACCTGAGGTCAGGAGTTCGAGACCAGCCTGACCAACATGGAGAAACCCTGTCTCTACTAAAAATACAAAATTAGCTGGGCATGGTGGTATATGCCTGTAATCCCAGCTACTCGGGAGCCTGAGGCAGGAGAACTGCTTAAATCTGGGAGGGAGGTTGCTATGAGCCAAGATCATGCCAGCCTGGGCAACAAGAGTGAAACTCCATCTCAAAAAAAAAAAAAAAAATCCAAAACCATTCCTCCTCCTGTCCCGACTTCCTTGGCTTCCTAGTCTTGCACACCAAGAGATGCTGCATTGTGCAGGATACCACCAGCCACCCCCTTGCCCTGTACTGGGAGTGGCACACTGCTAGCTGCTGGCATGGGAGTGAAGACAGAGAGCCAGACACTTACAGTTTCAGGACAGCCAGGTTGGCTTCCAGATCATAGGCATTTTCCTTGGCCTGCGTCTCCACATAGCGCTCCAGGGTGGCCAGGTTCTCAGGATTGTACCTAAAGCAGAATCAAGAAGAGTAAGCAAAGAGGAGACAGAAGCTGAGGCCAGTCACTTTACTGAGCAAGGAGCCACTGGAATGTGCTCCTCACCTTCCCCACTAAACTTGGCATGGGCCACTTGCTTTATCCAGGTAGTGAGTTATGTCCAGTATAATTGCTAATAAAACTTATCCCGGACCTCTCGCCTAAGTTCTAAACTCCACTGGAGCCCTGGGTCTTGCCTAGGATGCCCCCCAACCTCTGAGCCAGACAGTCACTGCAGCCTGTACACCTGGCCTCCTGAACATCTCTGCTACTCACCCCTTCCTCCCCTGATCAGGTCTCCACTCTGATCCCGCCCTATCCTCTCCTGCCTACCTCGCTGCCTACTTCCCTCATTTTTGCCTGAACACTCTGGCCTTTGCTTCCCCCATTTCATTTGCAACCTCTCCCGGCTATCACCGTCTGTTGTCAGGTGCGTCTCCCTTATGGAATGGGAACTCAGACAGAGAAAGCATGATCTGCCGCTGTCTGATTCACCTGTTGTTCCCAGCATTGCCTAGCACTCACAGTTTATTTCAGTAAATGCGTGGTGAATGAATGACACATGGCAATGAATGACGTGAGGAGCAGAGAAAGGGAGACATTAAGAGGCACTCAAACGAGGCCAAGCAGAGAAGGAAACCTTAAGGCAATTCAAGAAGATACTAGGCGGGGGAGGTGGTTTACATCTGTAATCCCAGCACTTTGGGAGGCCGAGGCAGGAGGATTATGAGGTCAGCAGCTCGAGACCAGCCTGACCAACATAGTGAAACCCCGTCTCTACCAAAAATACAAAAATTAGCCCCGCGTGGTGGAGCGCGCCTGTAATCCCAGCTACTCGGGAGGCTGAGGCAGAATAGCTTGAACCCGGGAGGCGGAGGTTGCAGTGAGCTGAGATTGTGCCACTGCACTC